TCAAATGATGATACGAATGATTTTAATATTTATGTTAATTTAAAGAAAATATTTATTGAATATAACACTTTTGCCATCAGGCGCTCCTGTGTAGCGCTTGTTTGGTAAAGTTAAAAATGTGCTTAATGAAAGACTATGATGTTTAAATGATAATAACTTTAAAAAATTTTTATTATTAAAGGCTAATTTTAATTATAAATAAATATTTTCTAATTGTTATACTTATATTATAATTCAATTACACTAAATTTATACCATACTTAATTTATTTTTATATTAGTTAATTTTGCATCTATCAGTAATTTCCTTCTAGATCGTGATCGCCATCCTTTTTTTAAAAAAAGGTCGATTCTGGATTTCGATCCTCCTTTTTTGAAAAGATCGTGATCGGGATTCGATCTTTTTAAAAGGATCGATTAACAAGTTTGACTTTAACACATATTAATGGATTTCAATTTGTAGATTCAACTTTTGAATTTATTATTATTTTCTTTAATATATTTGTATCCTTAATTTCTTAACTAATAAGTATTTCATTATATTTTTTTATTTTATCATAAAATTTATATATTTTAATTTATAAGACTCTATTTTGTCTTCATATATGAATTGTCTTGAAATTACTTTAAAATTTTTAGTTATAATTTTCAAATTTTTAATTAGTTCAGTACCATATATGTCCATAACATTTGGTATTTTACGTTCCTTGAAAATTTTCCCATTTATCCAATTAACATTTTTCCAGTTTTGTTAAAGATCAGAATATGAAATAAACCAGGCATTTTTTCTAAATAAATTGGTTTTTTATCTTTCAAATCCATAATTTTATTAGAAGTTTTATTTTGTTTATGAACATTTTTACTCTTATTATGAATATAAGGTTGCTCGTTATAGTAATAATTATTTTTATTATGGAAATTTTATGATTATAAATCTTATTATTACAATAATTATATTCATTATAATTTATATTGATTATTATTATAATAATTACCTGGATTATTTATATCACAACAATAATTATATTCATTATAATTTTTATATTGATTTTTTAATAATTACCTGGATTATTTCTATTATGACAATTTATATTATAACTTTTTTTATAATGAGTATTAGACTGAAAATTGTAAATAATATGATTTTTATATGATTATGTGGTTGAACTAAAGATGATTTATATTCATAATACTCTTTTATAAGCCTATGAATTCATCATTAGTTTATTTATTTGTCATTATTCAACAAATCAAAAATATGAAAAATATAATCATGTAAGTTATTAAGAAAATCAACTGTTATTTCATTGTTTAATAATATATTTCAAGGTTTTCTATGTATTTATTTATATCCATTATGATTGATTAATATTAACGTTATAAGTTATTCTAGTTATGACTCTATTTTGGAATAGTATTTTAATTTATAATCACTTTTCTTCTCACGTGCTTTGGAATTGTACATTGATTTTACCATATAGAATTCATATCTATATTTCCCAGATAAGGGAAACTTGAAGAATATTTCTACTATCATGGTTTTCCGGTCGATCATGCTAAATAAAGGCTAAATGGTGGTCGATATATAAATTTTATTATATTATTTCTAAAATATATATTGCTTCTTAAGTAAAAAATATAATTGACATATTTATACAAAAAATCTTTGTTCAATTTGAATGCTTCATAAAAATAAAGAATTATAAAAAATATAAAAATAATAAAATTAAAAGTTAAGCTCAATTATTCAAATACACAAAAATAAGAAAAGGTCAATAAAAAAATAAAAAACGAATTTTATTATTCAACAATTAAGACTTTTTAAAATATTTAAAAAATCGTGAGATCTATATTTTCAATATAGATCTCTTTCAATGTCATATAATTTTTATTTTATTGACAAGCGGGGAAGGTCTTGCCCTGAGAACTGTTATGGTCACTCTATTAGTCGGTACTGGGGGGAATTAGCCTGTAAAATGTGTAGTGTAGAATATTGACTTATAATATTTTATTAAGATGTGTAATTCTTTTTATTTCATTTACGCGATATTTATATATAAAAATATATTTAATTTTCAGCCTCAAGTAAAACATTTTGTAAAAAAGTAATATAAATAGATTTGGTAAATACAAGTAATAATAAATATTAAAAAGAAATAGTAATATATTAATAGGTAAATTGATTAAGTAGTCACAATTTGTTAGTAACATATTTCATATTACATTAAATATTGTTGAATATTCCTTTTGTTTCAATTATTGTTATATTATCAGTTATATTTTATGTGGCATATTTTAAGTTTGTATTATATTCATTTTATTCTCGAATATATATTATTAAGAAAGAATACTTCTCTTTTCTGACTGGTTTTGCTGGAAGTCATAAGCGATCTAACTTCAACTTTAACTTCTAACTAAATATTTTTCTTGATTTTAAATTTTCTAAATACAACTAGTTTATTTTTTCTTCAATATATTTTGTAGACTATAGAATTGATTTGGAATTAAGTGTCTATTTTCATTTTGGAGTTGGTCTGATGATATTAAAAGTTTTAGTCCAAATCACTTTCTTATGCGTTCTACTCAGTCCAAGAAATAAAATATTCTTCGTCTATTTTGTCCATTTAAGTGTTCCAATATCTAAGGAAGTTTTCATTCTAAAGAAAAATATCCATGTTATATTTATTTTTTATGAAAATAGGTTTAAACCAAACACCACTATAATAATTCTGAATTCCGTTTTAGAGTAGCAAATATATTTGAATCATTTTTTTAATTATTATGGCATAGATATATAACTTGGATTCATGTAATTCTTTATTCAAATAAATTAACCATAATCCGATCCGATAGAACAACGTAACGTTACAATTATATAGAATCAGGTCATTCTCCAGCCATCATTCCAGAACTTTCCTCTATCTCCAAAGCCACATGATCCGGATGCATGATTCTAGCATGCAACTCCACGTTTAGCTAGCTAATCATAACAATTAATAATAAATTTATTATTTATTTCAATTTTTACTATTTATTTTAATTTTTTTATCATCAAATTAATTATTTCGATTAACAATTTATAATCTTATTTACCTTTGGAAATGTAAGTTTTTAATTACCTTTATTAAGTTTATTTAGATTTATAGATTTTTAAATATCATTTTCATAATAAATTAAAATTACCTTTTATATATTTAAGTTATATATAGGTTTAAATACCTTTTACATATTTTTTTTAGTTATTTTTAATAACCTATTACATAGTTAATAAGTATTTTTAAATACCTTATACATTGTATTCAAAAATAAATTTTAATTATCTTTTGAATTTAAAATAATTTTGTTAAACAATTAGAGATATTAAAATATCCAACTCAATATTTTATACAGAAAAATATTGCGTAAGTCTGAGGATTTTGTTAATATATGGAATAAAGATTATTAATTAGCGAAATCTCGAGGCATAAGTATTAAAATATTTAGTTATGTTTTTTTAAAAAATCGAACATTTAACAAAAAAATTTTAAAGTTATTTATATTTTTACTTATAAAAGATCAAAGTTTAGTAATACCACCATGATAGTAATGCATTGCGTAAGGCTGTAAATTTTTTGATGACGACTTTTATTTTTATTTATTAAACTATATAATCGTTTTTTTCTTTTCAAATATTTAATATATATTTCCTCTAAAATAACATAACTTTTTTTCTATATATTTAGATTATCAACTATATTCATTTTCTTCTTTATTGTTTGATCTCAGCTATTTAAGAATATTCAGCACTAAATCTTTTAAAAAAAGTTATAGACATACCTTTTCCTTCTCTTATCTATTTTGATTGAGTGTTTCAGAATATCATAAAAACAATATCATGTGAAGTTATTTCCTATTTTTTAAAATCTCATTAGATGTTAGTGCAAGCATGTATAAAAAAGATATTTTCACTTTATTTTTTTAATAAATATCTATATACATACATAATACCCTTTTGTTGATAGTAGAAAAAAAATAAGATGAACTTATTTTATGATTAACTCCTAGATTTTTTGGTCTAGCTTTTGAATATAAAATATTAAAATGTAAATAGTTATTACATTTGCTTTATTCCCTTATAATTGTCCCGAGATTTATATTTATGCTTATTAATTTTTCGGATCATCCTATATTTTTCAATTTTTCAATATTTTAATGAATAATATAAAACAAATAATTTTTTGATATCTTTGAATTATAATATACTAATATTTTAAATTTAATTGTATTTTTTAAAATAATAATGAGCTTACATGAAATGATCATACATATTTTTTAGTTGTCTATATTATATTTTGTCTAGAGTTCGATCTTATTTTCTATATAAAAATAAGAAGTGTATATTATATATAAAGAAAACCCTACATTTTCTTATTGTTATAAGAAATTATGAATTCAGTCTGAAAATTAAGTTGTTGTTATAATAAATACAATACTAGAAATAATTTTATCACAGACAATAGAAGTAAATTTCACTTCCTCATTACATTCTTGAAGATAATTTTAGATTCCTAATCTTTTTTTTCTTTCTTTCTTTAAAAATATTTTAAATATTTTAAAAATATTTTAAATATTTTAAAAAATATTATTTAAAAATATATTTTTATATGGCAAAGTTATTTCTGACATGTGTCATAATTGTTTCTTATATCATTGAACATAACCTGTCAAACGATCACCAACTTTCATGTTATTTTATTTTATAATAAGCATAGTATATTCGACCAACGCTTATGATAAAATATTATCGATTCGTTTCTAAATTAATTTTTGAAGCTAACCTGATATTAATATTAAAAAAAAATATATATAAATGAGGACGTTAACACCACTTTTTAAATTTGAGACAATAAAAATTCTTTAAAAATATATTTTATTACATATTAAATCAATTTATCATACTTTCTTGGTATTGACTACTTTATCGTTTCAACTGGCTTTTATAAATCATTACTATATATCATGAAACGAATGATAGATTACGAATGCCAATTTGGCAAAATGTATTTATAACTAAATTTTAATTCCACATCTAATGTCCACATGGGTACAAAGGGTTCAAGAAAATGTACTTAAAGTTATATCTAGAAAAAAGAATATTGAAAGGTTTTTAAAATATTTATTTATTATATTATTGAATTCATTAATAGGATTAAATTTGGAGTTCCTTTTGAAGATGTGTGTCAGAATAATGACATACCCAATTCATTAATTGTAAGTTCAAAATTTTTACAATTATCTAAAATCTTTACCTCATGATTGTATTGTTTACATAGTAGATTTTATCAAAAATATTTTTTGTAATCATCTTAATTTGAATTAAAATGTAAAGTAGTAGATAATTCCTTTTTTTCAATGGGTAAGTTTCTATTAGAATATATTATAAAAAGTAAAGATGCACTGATACTTTTAATTTTAAAAGATCAATACTAAAACAATAATTAATCTTTATTAATTTAAAATAATGAATTATATTAAACCATAAATTGGGGGAAAATTTAATAGATTTCTTAATAGATAAGAAGGAACAAAGTGTTATTTTACTTAAATTTTGTTATGGAAATAACTTTATTATGAAAATTACACATATAATAAAATAAATTATGATTGCGCCTTTTCTCTTATGCCTTATTGATAATTGATTTATAAGTAATATATGATGTTTGTTCCCTTGAATCTAACCAAAGCCAAAATCCAATTTATAAATATATTTTTTTCAAATTATTAATGACCAAGACTAAATTTCTAAGAAGGGGTGTAATTTTAGTCTACTTTTATCTTGAATTTCTATTTAATGTTTGGATTTGCAAAATGTTTTTATTCCAATGAAACAATTTTTTAAATATCTAGTATTAGGGATGTACCGATATTTTATATCGGATCGGATCGGGCCGATATTTCACCCATTTTAAAATATCGGTTATCGGCAAATATTATAAAATTTTCCTATCCGATATAAAATGGCGCTTTTAACAAAATTTAAAAAAAGTTATATCTAAAAATCCATTTATTTTTATAAATAAAATCGGAATATATTTTTATGCTTAATTATTTTAATAGTAATAATTAGTTAATAAACATTCTGCAATATAGTTATTTTTTTTCACATTCTGTTTAAAAAAGTGTTCATTAATCTCTTCAGAATCTGTTTTTAGTGATACTAGTGATATTAACAGTCCCCATCACTGCAGACCGATCTCTGATAAATTGGAAATTTTGGTATTTCTAAAAAGAAATCTTCGATAAATTAATTTTATATATTAATTTCAAATTTCAATATATTTGTTTATTACTAATTATGTAAATAGATTAATGTTATTACTTATTATATAAATAATTGCAATTGAATTGAATATAAACTATAACTGATCATATTATAATATATTTAAATGACATATGTTATGGTATAGTAAAATTATAGATGTTGTACTAATAAAAAGAATATTAAAAATTAAAACCGGTATCTTTACAGAATACTAAATTAGATATGATATAGGATCGGTTATCGGCCGATATCAATTAAATATCTGGAATATCGGATCGGCCTCCAAAAAGTGGTATCGGTACACCCCTATCTAGTATATTGAATTGATAAATAAAAAAATAATTGAACAATGAATACATTTTATCGCTGTTTTTAACTACAGAGCTTTCTAACACCTGGGGGGGGCTTATATATAATTGAAAATTTTGGAATTAACTTGGGAAGGATCAATTTGGGGTTATTACATGTCAAATCAACTTTGAACAAAGGCATTTTTTGACTTAATATTTTCAATTCAGATAAAAATTAATAAAAAATATGGGGTTACAATTAGCCCAGAAACGAAATTTAAACTTGCTAGGTTTTATATTAATCGAGATCTTAATAGTTAAAGATGAAAAAACGTCATTTTTTTAAAATAATTAGTTCCTAATATGTATAAGTAAAAAATTGATAGTTAAGGGGAAATAAAAATAAACATTTTTGTTATAGATGGTCATTTTATATCCAGTTTAAAATTCAGAAGTAAATTTTCATAAGGAATAGGGCTTCCAATTTTTGTAATTTTTTTAAACAGTGTTTATTAACTGATTACTTAATATTTACTTAAATAATTTTCTCGGCGGCAAATAAGATATTTACAAAAAAATGTTTGCAAATAAAATGGCTGAAAAATTAAAGATGACGCTAAATTTTAAATATTTAAAAAGGCACAGTAATCGATTTATGGGTAATATCACGAACATTGATTTTTTTTAAAAATAGTTTTTCATGAAATTTATTTTAGATAATTTTATGATAAATTTTTTTTATAACCCACATGATATTACACACTAATCGATATTGTATCTTTACCCTCTGGCTGCATTAAAATTAGCGACATCTTCACTTTTTTAGCTATATCTTATGGTATATATTCGTTTGCCGCCCAAATTATCCAAGGAAGTATTTAAGTAATCAATTATTAAACATTTTTTTAAAAAAAAACATTGCAAAATTGAAAATCTCAGAGATGATAAAAATTTAGTTCTAAACTCGAAATATAAATGACCAGGTATAAAAAAGCATTCTTTTATGCCCCCTCCCCCAAATTATCAATCGGTTACTTAGTCATATATACAAAATGTAATAATTAAATTGATTTAGTGTTATTTTATCTGGGACATTCTTTGCACCTTTTTACCCCTTAATACCTCGGGTAATATAAAAACTGGCGAGTTCAAGTTTCATTACTAAGTTAGTTATGAAAAAAGAAAGAGGAAAGAAAATAATCCATTTAATCTTCATCGGAATCGAAATATGATGCCATAACATTTTATATTTTTAGCGGGCTCTGATTATACCTACAAAAATATGAATCAAATAATATTTGTATTCGTATTTTCGAATCGAATAATTGTATTATTCAGATTCGATCCTTATTAGAGCACGAATAATAAAAACATTATTCGATTTTCTTCGTTGAATATTCGATTCGAAAATTGAAAAATTAGATTATTAAAATTAAAAAAAAATTATTTATTAGATGTGAAAAAAAGTTAAAAAAATAAAAAGTTCCACAAGGAACATGTAAAATACTTTAGAATAATTTATAATATTTCAAATTAATTTGAACAACTTAATATTATACCTGGGATGTACCGATATTTTTGATCGGATCGGGCCGATATTTCATCTTTTTAATATATCGGTTATCGGCCAATATTATGAAATTTTCCTATCCGATAATAACGGTCTCTTAATTCTTAAAAAATTATTTCATTTAGATTAATGTTCTTATATAAATAAGTGATTTATCAATAAAAATATTTTATATGCTTTTAGATTCATGAATGTTCATTATAATAGATTTAAATGACTTATGTTATGGTATAGTTAAATTATAGATGTTATACTATTGAAGAGTATAATTTAATGATGCAAAATCGCTCCATTTGAACCGATTTTAAAAAATGGCTACTTAAATATTTTAGAAATATTGCCTAAACCTCGAGATTTCGCTAATAGATGTCCAAACCAACCTTAGTGCCATCTATGAGCAAAATCTTCACTTTGCTTGATATTTTTCTGGATAAAATAGTGAGTTAGACATTTTTAAAAATCGTCTCAAATGGAGAACGATTTCGTAACACTAGATGCATGCATTAAAAATTAAAACGATTAATATGTTTGCAAAATACAAAATAAGATATGAAACCGGATCGGTAAGCAGCCGATATCAATTTAATATCGGAGTGGATCCGACTCCAAAAGGTGGTATTGGTATACCCCTTTATTATACGAATAATTCGATCGAAAAATAGATATTTTTCTTATTCGTATTCATATTCGAATTAATAATTTTTGAAATCGAATATTAAATAACAAATAATTCTTTTTAGGTATAGCTCTGATTATATAATATATATATATATTTATTTACATGATCCAAATTGAATTAAGATTAGTCTATAATATCGAAGAATCTCCTTTCTCAACAATTTTAAATGTCATGTTTATATATAGATGTGTTTTGTAAAATTGATGGAAGATGGTCCCCACAAACGGGAGATCTTCAGAGCCCCCGGCAGTTGCGGGAACATTAAAGAGCTTTTACATTCCTTACATCAAGGCAAAGGAACCAAGGATCTCAGCCGAACTTCCACTCATGCCATCGCGTCCGTCATTAAGGTTATATTAATTATATTATTATTAAAAAAGGAAGTAGTCTAGAGATAGAGACATAGAAAAAGAGAAAAAAAATGAAGCAATAATTATTATTTTTCTTACCCATGTGTTAAGCTCTAAGTTTTATTAAAAATATATATAATTTATGTCATCCCGATTACTTTTTTTAAACGTATCGACATTTGTTATAAAAACATCCTGATAACCTATCAATCAATAAACACTCCCCCCATCACCTTCCCTTCTCAAAAAAATGAAAAACTAATTTTATGCCCTCTTTTCTATTGATTTATGTTTTTCGCTTTAAAAAATATTCACCATTAAATTAAACCATTAAACAAAAAAACGTTTCATTATTGATTTTTTTTTCTCCAATTTCTCTATTAATAATTATTTCCATTGGCAAAAAAATATTTTTTTAGCAATCTTTTTTTATTATTTTATTTATAATTCCATTATTTTACAATCCAATTATAGGGAGATAAAAAAAAGTTTTTTGTCTTCTGATGCGGGCCCCACTGGGAAAGCAATTTTTTATCCGTTAATTTGACGTATGTAGCGAGGGCTCATCATTAATATTTGTAAATATGCCCGGGAACCGGTATCGATCCCGGTGCCAATCTCGTCTTTTTGGATCTCGGTTCTTTTTAAAATAATCGGATTTTGACCGGTTATTTTTTAAACTAAAAAATAATATTTTTTACATTATTTTGTTGAAAATATGAGATTAAAACCTGTGTCGAAAACCCGAGCCCTTCGAATCCTAGAGATTTTACTAAACCCAATCTTTTTTAAAAAATTTAAGGTTTGAGAATTGTTTTTTTTTAAGATTTATTTTACTCAATGAAATGATAATATTATTTTTTAAATTGTATTATATCCTAATTTATTCTTTATAGGTATGATGATAAATTATTTTTTTATGGTGAATATTAAATATAATAAAATAAATTTTTAAAATTACTGATGTTTATACTATTTTCATTAAATTTTCGAGGTCCCTATTTTTAAACTGAACCTGGTTTAGTGATTTTTTTTACCGAACCCGAACCTTTTTTTAGAACTAGGGTTCACAACTATGGTTAAAACACAAAATTATCAGACAAATTATTAATTACTATTGGAAAGTAAAAAGTCTTGATAAATTGGGTAAAAATCTTGGTTTGAACGGTGTCAACATTAGACAGGTTTCACTATATTATATTGTTGAAGTTATACTAATTACATTTGGATTTATTGAATTAAATTGCGTTCCATATAAGATAGGTAATAAAAATATTTTCGGACCCTGCCGGTTAATTGAAAATTTATAGTATCCGGTACCATTGAAAAAACTGGATCCGATACATCTTCCACATTTAAAAAAAATCGTTTGGGGACGTCTAGTTTTTTTTTAGCCTGTCGGAGTTTTAAATGGCGTAAAGAAATATAAATTCCTTAAATTCAAAAAACTTTTTTTGCTGCTACGCGAGTGACGACATTTAAACGATCGGCACCTAGTCACTCTTGAGCCATTGTCTTTATGGAATCTTATGAAGATCATTAGGCTCTACATTGAATTGGTGCACAGTTTCCCAAATTACTCAAAAATATCCATTAATAGTTTTTGATTATTTTGTTTTTATCCAATTAATTATATTTTTTATCTCTTGCTTTCATTACAAATTATGTTTAATATCCCACAAATATTATTATAATTTTTTATATCCTATTATAACCTTGGGCTTATTTTTTATTTTACCTATTTTTCTGTCGTAATTTAATTATGGAAAATATAAATTATTATTATTTTCTATTAATTGAGTAAAAAATTATTTTTAAAAAAATGAAAGAAAGGGGGGGGGGAAGAGAAAAAATAAAGAAAACTAATTGGGATTGTAAAATAAAGAAAAAATAGATATAGAATACGCCTTCATAAAATATTATGACCTTATTGCTCTTTCCTATCCTTTTCTTGGGTCTAACTATAGTTAGATAATGGCTAAATGTCGGCTAATTTGGCTCAATCTTCAGGCGCTTGCCGGAGAAAATCCGTTAACATTAAGGTGTTTTAATTTATATTAGTTCTATTCAAATTTGAGCTGGTATCTTTTTAAGAACTCCGAGGCCATAGTTGATAGTTTTCGGCTAAAAGCTTGGTTTAACGGATTTTTGAGTCGACATAATAACCCAACTATAGCTCTAACTTGCAGTTAAATATCAAAATTTAGTAGTGTTATTAAACGGTTCTATTTAGTCAATTTTAAATCAATTGGCTAAAATAATATTGCGCAAATAGGTAGTAATATATTTTGAATAAATATTAGGCTAGTCGTTTTTAAAAATGGAGTAGTTTAACAACACTACGATAGAAGACTCGTTTAAGAATCGCCTGCTTGGAAATTTAGTAACGAGTGGCTTTGATATCTATCGCGAGAGTTTGGGATTGCAGAACCAATTTTGTTTTATTAGAATCACGGTTAGGATTGTTCAATTGTCTTTCATTCCACCTTTTTGAGGCCGTCATTAGTTTCATCAACGGTTATTATCCTCCAAACTAATAGACACGCGACAATCATCCATCTACATTGGAAAGCTTAGAGCCCTAACACAGCACAGAAAAGAATCAAAGAGTGGCACCTTTATATACTTTTAAGTGTCTCAAAACACATGCATGATATTTTTGTTGGAAAAAATAAATAAATATTGTTCTTTAAAAAAAATAATTACACGTATACTTTGTAACAATCACCTAGAATAGAACATAAATCTAACCCGGTGTTCAATTAACCGTTACTATTTATAGAACCGAGCTTGGAAAAAAAATATTTTGTAATTTGAACTTGATCCAAACCTCGAAAACCGGTTTTAATATCGTAACTCTCCAGGTTTTTAATATTAAATAATTTTGATTGATAAGTATCATCAACTATTTTTTATTTGAAAGGTGCCAGCTATTTAAGTTAAAGTTAGCCTATAGAAATGATCTCAAGCATGGACATTCATTCTTTCTCCTTATAGATATAATTTGACAAAAGAGAATCTTAAAAAATATTTTTAATTGTATATAAGCTTCAATATTTCTTTTAGGGAATAGTGATAAATTTTTTTAAAATAAATATGTTTTCTCTTTACATAATTCTAAGCAACTTGATATGGAAAAAGATTCGAACTAAATTTTAAAAGTCCAAAGAACCGATTATTATTTATTACTAACCAAACGGAACCTTTATTTTTATCCGAATCTGAACCTGAACCAAACCGATATTTTTAGCGGCGATAACTAGATTCGAAGCCTTAAATTAAGAGAAATAATGTTCTACAACAATTTTTATATAATTTTTTCTCGATTTTACAGCTCAATGTCAAACAATTAAAAAAAATCATATATTATGTTTTTTAACATTTCTTGTTCTAATCTGAAATCTTAATTGATTTTAAAATAATAAAGAAATAAAATGATAAAACAATTTAGAACAATGAAATGGGAAAAAAGCGAATAGAAATGGAGAAAAGAAGAAAAAAGAATAAAAATGGAGAAAAGAAAGGAAAAAAATATATAATTCAATTCTTCAAATCATAATTGTTAATTTTTTTTATCTTCCAAACTAAATTTTAATTAAAAATTAAAAACATCTTTTGAAAAAAAAATTATTTCATATTTCAAAATCAATTGAAAAAAAATTCTATGCTAATAACCTTTCTTCAAAAATAAAATATAACTTTTTTTCGTTAATAAAATAAATAAAACGACAAAATTAATTTTGTCATCGTATATATTTTTTGAAATAATTTTAAGTTTTGTGTAATTCATACAATTTCATAAAAAATAAATTTAATCGAGGTGACATTAATTAATTTGCTTGTTTATGTTTTTTTTTTGCAAAGAGAAACATTTTTTATATTTGTTTAAAAATAATTTTTCGGGTTTTCTTATTATCACGTTTACGCGGCAAGTGTTCCCTAAATAATGGAATGTTTTTTAAATTTAAAAGTACTTGTTTTAATAAAAAATTTTTTTTGCTATTCCATTCATTTATACATTTATTCAAGAATATTTGTAAAATTATCTAATCTAATTTAAGCGACCTGCTACTTTTAAAACAGTTCATCGGAAATTGTTTAATTTTAACGCCTTTAAGAAAGGAGCTATTTGAATCATGATTTCTATCATAATTGCCACCAGATATTAAATTAGCAGGTTACCATTTACTATAGCTGGGTATTAGGCATATTTAAAAACGAAGACAATGGAATATTAAAATATACTATTATTAATCGATTAGTATAATTACTAACAGTAAATTATTCAATTCGTTCAAAAGAATCGAATACGAATAATTTATTATTCGACTCATATTCTTTTTTGAATAGGTCTATAGGGTATAACTGCTCTATTTTTAGAAGGAGAAAGGAATAAACTTAGTTCTTAGCGGAGAACTTTAGCAGGATTTTATGCGGCGTGCTCCTGTAGATTGAGCCAAATTAACTAATTTTTTTAGTTATTAACCTAACTATACGCTTTACATTTGCACTTTGACAAAAATTTGTTTAGTCGAATAATTGAGTTTGAAGGATCTTTTATCACCACATCTTGCATTTTAAAATGATTCCTTTTCTTTTTTAAGGAAAGAAGTAACGATTTTAAATTACCTTCAATTGGGAATAAATTAGAATTTTAAAAAGTATCTAGGATTATTGGACCTCAAAATAAGAAGATCCGAAATTAAGATTTTAATATTTTCTCTTTGATGTTACTGACCGATTGTTTAATTTAATAGCGAAGATCATGGTTCGGACCATACCACGGTCCTCAGATAAAAGACAGGTCTAAATTGTGGTCTTAAGTAAAAAGACCCATACAAGATCGGTTTTTTTTATCTGAAGATTTTGCTCATAGGTAGCACAAAATGGACATCTATTAGCCAAGAATCGAGGCGTTGGCCTCTGGCTAAAATATTGAGTTAGCCACATTTAGAAATCGGCTAAAATAGAGCCGTTTAACAACACTACGTGATACTATATACCTTTTTTTATAAACAGGTTTTAAGAAAATTAATCAACATTTGTGAAACCAATTTTTTATACGTTTTAATAGGTTTTAGATTAAAAATTAGGAGATATTATATAAATGAAAAATTAGTGTTGTTAATTTTAACAACGGTAACCCAATAGTTTATCCAAAAAATTTTACGCAAACTTGGAGATTATAGATGGGAGAAAGGTTTGGACATCTATTATAACGAAATCTTGAGGCTTGCGTAATACTATTTTGGTTAAAATCCTAATTTAAAATCGGTTAAATCAAGTCACTTAACAACACTACCTAATACACATGTTCGTAAATCAAATAGAATTTGAAATTATAACAATAATTTATTATTTTATAGGATTTTTTTGTTTACCAAAAAATGACATTTAAAGCCTTCAACTACGAAAATAGATGAAAAAAGTGAAGCGACATTTATTCATTGTTCCACCTGTCTTTTTTTTTCATATTTCATCTGAGATTAGCCTTTTCCTTCCCCTCCCCCTCATTTTACCTAATTTAATTAATTTGAATGACACCATATACAATAATTATTTTTGATTTATTTTATATAGTAATTTTTATTTTAAAATATAAAACATTTAAACTTTGAGGAAAAGGGGGAATTTAAATTTTATCATTATTATCTAGTTTGATCCTCAGCTTCACTGTCACTATCTATATGTTCATAGTATAATATGTAATATCTATTGTGTATCTTATTACATGCAGTACATACACAATCACGATTTCTTCTCTTATGACATTTTAAAGATATATTATTATTACATTTTCCATTTTCAAGAATTTCTTAAAAATATATGTATAATTATTTTATATGAATGGTATATAAGAATAAGAAACATAATTATTATGTTAAAGAAGGCATTATTGGATTATAAAAACATGTCTCTTATTTATAATGATATAGTACAGTAGGTCCTTCGTTCTTATTGTCATACTATTTATTATTTAATTTCTTTTTTTAATCCAGTTATTCTTATTTAAAATTATTGCGTATTATTTTAAAAAATATTAGCCACTTTTTTTTCAATTCCTTTAATTTTTCCTTGTTTCCCACTTGTTTCCCACTTTTTTATTTCTTTTTTAAAAATATAAATATTTTTGATATCAAGAAAGATCTTCTTTTCGGATGATGTTTAATGATATTGATAGTCTGGGTTGCAAATAGCATTTTTTATTAAACCATTTTTTAAAATATATATTAACCCTAATCTATATCTGGCTACCCTTTTTAAACTATACCCTAACCCCGTCTAAGAGGTTAATTTTAGAAAAAAACTGCTAACATCACCGATTGAACCAGGGTCTATCTTCCCCTTGAACAGAATTGATCTCTAACCTTAAAAAACATGTTTTTTTTGTATACAAATAATTATAAATCTCAAGTGATTTTTATTAAAACTAGCTTTGTTATTTTGTGACATTCTCAGACTACCAATATCATTTACTCCTTTTTTATTTATTTATTTCCTCATTCCAATCTTTTTATTTAAATAAAGAAATGTTTTTTATACAATTAAATATAGATATTTCTGCAAAAATTGCCTGGCGGCTTATTCGGACCGGAAAATGAGAAACAATTATTTGAGTTAGAAAATGAATTAGATCTTAATCCCCTTGCAAGTACCCTCAAAATGAAAGAGTAAAAATTATTTTATTTTTTTTAACCTTAATTTGGAATAAAATGACAACATAATTACGTTAAGACATCTCACATCTATAATAAAAAATTAATGACCCTCTATTTATTTTAAATAGAATAATTACAAGGCTTTCATTAGCCAGGGTCCACTTTTTGACACTTTTTCTTGGAACTTTGAAATGGATATCCATAGTCAGAGGACATATTCATTACAAACAGAACATCGCTAATCAGGTTTTTTTTCTCGTCTTTATATAAATGAAAATTAAAAAAAGTTTAGATTAGATATAGAAGTTTAAATTATAAATGAAAATATATGAGAAAACTTTGATTTTTTTAAAATATGTTTTTTTATAAAAAATTGGGTATTAATACTTTATCAGCCACTTACCTCGAATATTTTTTTATAAAATAATTTTACCTTAATAAAAAAATACAATTAAGCATCGTAGGTAGTGTTGTTAAGCGGCTCGATTTAGCGAATTTTAGATTAAGATTTTGGCCAAAGTAATTAAACAAGCTCGAGATTTCGTTAATATTAATAGATGACCAAACCTTTCTGCCATTTATGAGAAAAATCTCTAGTCTTGCGAAATATTTTTTGGCCAAAATTTTGGGTTATTCGTTTAACAACACTACTCACAGGTAACTAGATTTTTATTTTGATTCCCCTTTGAACAGGCCCTCCCTACCAAAATCTTATAAAAATTTCACTTGTATAATAAAAAAACGATAAAAGAAAATTGTAAAATAAATGGCTAGAATTTGTAATTCTCATTATTTGATTAGCCATTTTAAAATTTAATATACAATGGTTAAAAAATGAGAGTAAAGAAGGGCTCAAGCTAAAATGCGAGTTAAGGTTAAATATAAGATTTATAAGAGTAGGATTTTTGAAAGAAATCTACCAGATTAAGTGATAACTAGCTACAATTAAAGACTAAGGCTCTGGTAAGGCCCTCTAACTAATCGGAATTATCCTTGATTTAACCTTTGAACACAAACATAAAACATATGAAAATTACATTAAACTCACAGCTGTTGCTAAATGTCATTTCGCTCGAGGTAAGGCCCAATGGGCTGGGTCATTAAAATTAATTTTTTTATTTTTTTGAAACGGCTGGGTCATTAAAATTAATTTTTTTATTTTTTTGAAACCCAAGTAAGGCCCAAAAAGACCACATAAGTATTTGCAATTTTTTTAAACTTTCTTATAAATATAGCGTTTAGAATCAGACACCGAAAAAGGAAGCGAGCAAGATGTTACAATAAGTTCGCAAGAAAAGCAACAGGGTCTACCAAGAATTGAACCGCTCATTTTGCAAAGTGAGTCCGACCCGCAAACCTCTACGACTATTCGGGATTCATTACTACCGAATAAAGGTTTTTTTTTCTTAAAAAATTATAAAAAGTATGCTATATTTATATTATGTTGAAGGATGAATTGAAATGAATAAGAGCAAATTCATAACAAAAATGATAACAAATGGGATATCAGAAAAGATGTTAATTTTGGAAGCTAATTCTTAACGTACACTTAAAATCATATCTTCTAAACAATAAATATATTCCTGATTAATGATATTATAATTATAGTAGCGTCACTAGGATCTTAAGAATCTGAATTGATAAAAAGTAAGCAATGTTGTTAAACGGCTCGATTTAACCGATTTTAAATTGAGATTTTAGCAAAATAATGTTACGCGAGCCTCGGGATATCGTTAATGATGTCCAACTTTCTGCCATTTGTGAACAAAATCTCCAGACTTGCGTTAGAAATATTTTTTTTGGCTAAAATATTGGGTTAACCGTTTTTTAAAATCGAGCCGTTTAACAACATTAGAAGTGAGGTATAAAAATTTCATATTTTTTTTACAATTATGATTTGTTTTTCTGAATAAAATTAAGATAATGAGCCTATCATAAATAACATAATATGAAGAGATGACCTAAATTATATTAAATTGTTTTTCTGATTAAAAAAGATCTACAGAATTGCATTACTATTTGCGCCAAGTCTCTTAGTCTCAGTGTCGCTCCCAGTTTGTTATCTCGTAACTTGACCAGTCCTAAGAGAGGGCCAGCTATAACCGATTTGTCGAGGTTTGAAATGGCCTCCCGACTCGTTATGTTCATGATAGACAGGTTTGGTTCCTCTCATTTTATGCCGCCTATGGCTTATACCTATTTATCAGGCGTGTTAGAAAGCAGAATCATGAATAAAAGTAAAAAAATTATATTTTAAAATATTTTTCTTCATTTCCCCCTTTACAGTCAATCATTATTTTACCCTATAAACCTATTAACTAATCATTATTGTTAAAATGAGAGAAAAAAAAGAGTAAACATGCGACACTTAAATTAAGAACTGGAGAAGGGTTGTTATAACAATATATCAAAATCTGGGTGAAAATGAGAATGATACATAAAAAAAATTTTAAATTATGTTGAATTGTAATTCTGAGTTGGTTATTGCTCTCCCCTTTGGTATTAATAATTTTTTATTTGTTTTACATCGTAAATTATTATCTTGTTTCTGTGAATCTAAGTTTTTACGGATATTTTTTTCCTGTAATTAGGGCCCTTAACAAAAATGACCTTCTACTTTTCTGCCTCTTTATAGATGAGGGAAATCTTTCAAATTTGCGGTAATGTATAGGTGTCGGGATTTTTTATCGGGCATCTAAATAGCTAGGAATGGCTTCATACCATTTGTTAGCTCTAGAAGTTTGTTCGAGTAGACTTCAAAATAGCCGTTAGACAATAAATTCAGTGTATAAGGATTTTTTTATTAATGCATGAGAGATGGGCCTAGTGTTCCATTTGTCGAAGGCTAGTTTTACTTAATCAAGGATAAGTTCATTTTTTATACCCCATAGGGCGTCTAAACAATGGAGTTATAAAATAACAAAGAACTGGTAACTAAGATTTCGGAGGATAGATAAGAAATGATCATTATTAATATTGTCCCTGTTTCTGTCATCACTGGGCATCAAATTAATTTTTTTTTCGAATATTATGTAAAAATCGAAATTTCTGCCATATTGTATCTTGTATAATGAGGTGGTTCTTTTTGGCATATTACGATTCAATGAATTATCATAATATATCTTAATTTTGAATATAAACTTAAATATGCGGTTTTTATGTAAAATGAAAATAACGTTTAACTGAGAAAAAATTACAATTAGGATATCGAATTATTTTAAAAAATTCCAAATTTTCTTTATATTGTCTTTATTTTTTATCCCCTTTTAATTTTCTTTATTTTTTAAATACCCCCCCCCCCCCCATCTAAAAAATGTTTATACATTTTTACCCATCTATAATTTTGGGATTAAATGAATAGTTTGTATTAATTTTGCATCCTTGTTTTCAATTTTAAATATTTATTATTATGATTACAAAAAAAGCATTATCCTTCGCTCCCGTCCAAAATGCCGAATCATGCCCAAACACGGAAACGGATTGGAAATTCATTTACGACTTAAAATGGCCATCCTTTTCGGTCGAAAGTCGCAAAACCACCGAAAATATCGATCAAAGTTGATAAATTTTTGTATAAAATTAAAAGTATATATTCTATTCATTTGTTAAGGAATTATGCAATATATTAGCGTATGATCATTTTTAAGCTGGTTATTCTTCAATTTTTTTTGGATAAAGTTTATTGTAACATTAAAATATATTTATTATTTTAAATCATTCATATATATACATTAAATTAATCGCAAAGGTCTATTAGAAATAGGTGAATGTAGTAGCAGTACCGGTAACTGCCAGGACGCAGAACCATTTCTTCAAAACTCAGCACTTCCATTAGCAAATTTATCTAAGCAGGATCACACTGCCCGTTGTTCCTTATCCAACGATTGCTTACTATGCCACACCGATATGAGTTGCTGCGATATTTTGCAAAGTTTTACCAAATTTTTATCTCAAACCACCACATTTATGATGACTCCATTTTTATATTAATTGTAAAATTATGTTGAACATATACACCTCATATTTTATTTTTTAAAATTTATCGATTTTTAATATTTTCTTTAGATCTTATGGAAGGGATTAAATCTGACATGGATATTACAGTCTCTTCAACTTTTTCGCCATCTTCCCATCAGTCAATTAACCTTTCTAAGGTATTTTAATCTTGATTATTCTATGAGTTTTTCTTGATAGCACAAAAGATAATTTTTCAATTTAGGTAAAATGAAACATTTTAAAATAAAGTATTCTTCCCAAAATAGTTTGGGATTTAGAATTATAAATAATACAATATAATAAATGAAAAGTAGCACGTCCCAAACTGGCCCCTTAAGATTTTTTTGAATTCAATCGTAGCAACCCATAGATTTCTTTAGCCTGGCCCGCGGACAGAGAAATAAACAAATACATATGCTCACTTTTTAGAAAAACTTTATTTAGGGACTATGGAGCCTAGTGGAAACTATTTTCTAATTATTATATTATTTTTAAATTATATGATGAAGTGTCAACCCTTATATTCGTCCATCACAACTTTCCTATCCACTTCAACGCCGACAAAGCAACTTTTTACAAAACCGAGTTTGGATATGCGACCGGATGCCAGTTTCTTAAATAATAGGCGGTTACTAATGGAAGCTAAAGCCAAACTAAAACCGGTCTCGAAACAACCCGAGGATTGTGAACAATTTTCCAAGTTTTTTTTAAATATAAAGATTTTATTTAATGAGTCACTATATTTATTATCCAATTTATACCCTAATATTTACCTTATTTAACTTACATTGTATTTTAAAGAATATATTTTAAAAAAATTGATATGGCAAAAAGAAAAACTTTATTTTGCGAATTTTTATTAGAAACGTATTATATATAACCTTGTTTTTCTCCCCAATTTAAGAAAACAGGGTATGAGTACGGTTCCTCGCAATTTCAAGGCGATAGAATTTAAAGTCAGTCCTGGTTTTGAAATAGGTTCCCGAAAAACTACGGCCTTCGAAACCGGTATACGGTCTTTAGAAGAGAAATCTGTTTCGATATCGATTCGGACCCGGGTTTTGGATAATATGAAAGCCCGTTCGGATTGGTTCCTTAATGATAATAACGTAAATATCACTCACGAATACACACAAAAACTTATAAAGGGAAAAGAAAAAGGCACGAATACAAACAGCAATGATCACTTTAAAGACTTTAATTACGAATCTCTGCTCGACCGACAGCACGATTTAAATCGTTTTAAACAAGTTTTTTTTTTTTAAAATATATAAATCACATTTTTAAAAAAATTTTCTTACATAGTAAACAGTCACGAAATTTTCTCTATTTTACGATATATAATGTATCCTTTGCAGGTTAGAAGAGTAATTCCTGAAGATAGCATAATTATTTAATATTTAAAGGCCTTTACAAATCATTAATATATATTTTTTTTGTTACTTTATAGTTGTCATAATTTTCTAGTAATATATTTCTTATTGAGATATGGAATCCAAGGGATTCAGAGTCTATCGATAATTTTAATTCGCTTACTAAAGGAGATTTTTAAAATCTTATTTTACTATAAATATATTCTTCTAGCATGTGTAGAGTACCCACAATGCGAACTCCAGACAATTTTGCCATCAAATTTTGTGTATTTTTGATTTATATGAAAAAGTATATATAAAAATTGAGATAAATTAAGACTAGATGAAAGGTTCATGGCAAAATTGCCTGAAATTCGTAATGTACACTATGCATATTGAAATAAATTTTCGGTCAAATCAGATTTAAAAAATTTAAATATCTCCCTCTCCCTCAGTAAATGAATTAAAATTAAAAGATTCCCAAACCCCATGATTCTATATCCCAATCAGATACCTTCCTGGGCCTTAACTTTTTAATCAAACCCCACCTAGGTCCGCAGAAAAAATTCCCAAGAAATGGTACCTCTGCAGGTCTCTGATGAAAATAAACAATATTTAAGTGTATTTAGACAATCATTTTATTTACAATGCTGAAATTTATTATTATTAGAAATAAATTGAAATATATTTTTTTAACTTGGCCACTTGTTTTAAATAAACTAAATTTAGGCCTAAGCCTTAATTTAGTTTATTCAAATTTACTTTCAAAAATCCAGGCCCGCTAGGAAATATAATATTACGGGGCTCATACTCAGCCCGGTCCATGAATGTCTCTGATCCCAATACGACATATTATATTAATTAAGGATTACAATTATTATAGTATTCACCACTAACTGATACTTCATAAATCCTCTATTAACTTAAATCGCATTTTAATTTTTTGTTTAAATTTGGTAATAATTATTAATCATATTTTTGTCGGTTACATAATACGATTGCTTGGTTCAGGCCAAAATTGTATATATTATATTTTTAAGTGATGGGATTTCATTTTTTTTAGAATATTATTTTGACATGGTATTTTATTACTAAATATTAAATTATTTATATATTTTAAAAAAAATTACAAAGAAACGCGACACTTCAGGAACCATTTTTGGTGAAACTGGTCCCGCTTTGAATAAAACGATCACTTTTCGATTTTCTGGTAGCAAGCAAGGTTTGATACATATGCGATTATTCATTCATTTTTTATTTATTAGCTATTTAGCAGACGTTTTTCTTCCCATTTAATTGGTTTGATGAACTCTAACCATGTTGTTCAACGGATAGGAAAATAGAGAGAAAATTATATAAGCTATATTCTATATACAAAGGTTTTTAATTAATCCCCGGGGCATATATGAGAATTTTTTTTTAGCTTTATTTTTCTTTATATAATATAGTTCTGTGCTCACCGAATTGTATGATATATTAATTATAAAAGTGCTAATTTCTATTTTCGGTCTCACTAATACAAGAAAAAAATCAAACTAAACTTTACATTAGAATCTCGGAACAATTTTTGGTCGATTTTAAATATGGAAATATCCACAATTATAATATTTAGAAACGGCTTGATTTGAGCTGTTTTTTAAAAATGGCTAACTCAATATTTTATCCAGAAAAATATTACGCAACTGAATATTTTGCTATTATATAGTACAAAGGTTTGAACATCTATTAGCGAAATCTCGAGGCTTAAACAATATTTTTCTGGTTAAAATATTAATTTACACGTTTTAAAAAATAGACTCAAATCGATCCTTTTAACAACACTATTTATGAGAAGTAAGGAAGGAAGAAAAATTCTTCAAATTCAAATTTTGTTTGAAAATTCTCTTTGTTTTTACATTTTATTAAAAAAAATCGGTTAGTACATTTTTTTTGCTTTTATTTTTAATTAAAACATCCCTAAACTTTGTGCCAACTTAGAAAATATTTTAGGCTTATTTAGAATATTTTTTTCCCTCCCGACTCAATTTTAATCAATTGTTCTTTCTTATTGGGGATACATTATATATTATATATTTTTTTAGAATATACCAAATATATTTTATTCATCCTTCCACTTAAAATTAGATATGAATTTATCTTTCTTGATTATTTTATATAATACCACAATTTATCTATCACGGTCTTTCATTTATTAGTTTTTTTATAATATTTTAATAACCTTTTATTTTATTAATTACTCTAGGTCCGTTGTGTACTAACAAAGGGGAAATGGCATCTTGTAGCGGTTCTCCCGCGTCGTTTACGTCATCGCGTCCGCCTTCCACTAGTAGCGATGCTCTCTCTAGATCGCCCTCCCCTTATTGTAATACATTACCACCACTTATATACTTGTAACTAGTCTAAAACATTAATAATTTCAAAGAAAATGATAAAGTTTTTCGATAAATCCTTTAGCCTAAAATCGTAATTGATTCTTGATATACAAAATTAGTGTGGTCAAACGACCCGATATATGCCGATTTTTAAAAACGGCCCGATTAAGATTTTAGCCAAAATATTTTTATGTAAGCCTCGAGATTTGGCAAATAGAGATAAAAATCTCTCTGCTACCTATGAGCAAAATCTTCTGGTTTATATAATATTATTTTGTCTAAAATCTTAATCGGGCCATTTATGAAAATCGACTCAAATCAGGCCGTTTAACAACACTACACAAAATTATAGCTAAAACTTCTAAATTTCATTTTTAGTCGGGGAACATCCTCCTTTCAAATTGGAGAATATGACCAAAAAGAGTTGTAACGGGAACGGTGCAATGAAACGTAAAAATGGTAAAAATCAGGATTTGGCATGGGATCTTCCTAGGTATAGACTATTTAAAAAAAAAATATTTTATTCCCAAATTTGTTATTTACTTAAAAATTTTAATAGTATTATAATTGATAGGTCTCAATAAAATAATATATAATTAAAGTATTAAAAAATATTGAAAATCATTTAAGTTGATATAGATCTCCTCTTTATAAATTATACTTCTCATTTTCATTTGTAATGTGATTAAAATATCTTGTAATAATATTCATTTGTATAAAAAAAAATCAGCTATATTTATAAAAATCGTATGTTGTTGGAAGTAGAAAATATTGCTAAAAACGTATCTCGGAAAACTTTTTGGAAAAAAAAATTAAACTTGGAAATGGCATACCAGAGATAAGCGCCATATTTTATCAGGATTAGTATCAATATCCAGAATTTTATCGAAATACTTCTCCATTAAATCTTTTTTTCCCCCTTTTTACAGGTCTAATATTCTCATTATTTTTAGTAATGTGTGCGTCGAATAATAGTGGAATTAGTAAAAAAAGATAGAGCATTATACCATTTCCATGGATAGCTAGATTTTGCAGCATCCCCTTCTTTTTTCCATTAAAAGAATTCTCCTAAATTCTAATTCTTTTATTTTAATTAGCTTATGAATTAAGTCTTGTTAGATAATTAATCATTCATATAGGATAAAGATAAATAATTTTATTTAAATAAAGATTTGTATTGTTTTTTTTATTTAAAAAGAAATATTATAAATGATTAAAATTCACATCAAATGCTGATTCTCACTTAATAAATAATATTTAATTTAAATGATCTATTGATTAAAAAATTTTTCTCTCCTCTTTGGTCCTTCTACAAAATGGATCATCAGATATAAAATTTAGCATAAAATCATTTTATTTTTCGAATTATACATATAATTACTTGTTCACTTAATAAATCGTATCATACGCCATGTAATCGCTAATAAAAATCACAATAATTAGATATTAAAAAACGCAAAAATCATCCTCATTAAAAATATGTTTTTTTAAAGGATAAAATTAAGCTATATTTGTTTTTTTCTGCTTTAAAAAAACATTTTATTTGGAAATGGCCTAATGCATTTTTTAAAAATTCTAACGTTCAACGTATTTATATTAGAGAAATTTACTTCTTTTTATTAAGCACATATCTATTCAAATTGCAACAACAAAAAATAAAGAGAAGCAATCAAGTGACCTCATTTCATTATTTCGATTAAATTAATATGACGAAAAAGTTTAAGAGAAGTGTTATAACAGTCTACCTTAATAATAAATTGATCTTGACTGATTAATGGTTACTTATTTAACTAAATTATCCAAATCAATTTCTAATTACTTTTTTACCTTTATAAGTTGGCGATAACTTGTCATCCATCTTTATAATGAAGATTAAAAGTCTCTTCTAAAATATAAAATAACAATTTAATATAAATTGCATTTAGCCTTTTACATATATATATATATATCATCGCATTGATATAATAGTTTTATTTTATCAATCCTCGCTAAGTGCGGGGGGGGGGGTGGAAAATCATGTTTATCACACCTAAATACTACGATTATAAAAGTTATTGACCTCATTGTTATAAGAGAATTCATATTAATACTTAAAGATAGATCAGACTGAATTTAATTATTAAATTTTAATATATTTATATGTATGCGTTGTTAGAGTCATCATTAAAAAGCCCTCTTTCAATAGAAAATATTCAAAACATCAGCAACAGAATAGTAACATGCCCTCTCTTTTGTATCACCAAGCTAGTTCATCTCCTGAAAATTTAGAAGGTATTTATCTTATATAAACACTATTCATAATATTGTTTTTTTAATGATTATTTTATAATTAAGGGTGGGACTGTGAGCGTCTCATTATCGGACTAATGTACCCCTATTATGTTATTCCTTGAAAATCACGGTCTGGCCTTTGACCCGAGCCGGACCCTTATGCGTGGACCTGGCCTCTGTCCCCAAGTAAAAACCGGTTCATACTGTGATCCTAGATAAAAAGATCAATCCAGGACGATCCCTATATTTTTTTTAAAATATTTTTATTTTTACATAATTTAACTTGTTTTTTTTTTTTTTATAAACGTATTTTATGTTAACAATATAAAATCAAATATGAATGAATAATGCAAATATTTAATTTAATTCGTTAAAATGGACTAAAAAAAATTAACAAAGTTAAAATAACTCCTTAAGAAAAGTAATAGAAAATACACACAAAAATTTAGAAAAAAAAATTATATGAATTAATAGCAAGGCAAACTTAAATATTAATAAAAGGCCGGTCCTGATCATGGTCCTGACTTAAATATATTTAAAAGACTAGTTAGTCAAACGGTCCAGTCCTTGTCTAAACCCGATATGGCCAGACCTTTGAACTTAGGTTTGGTTTATATATAATAAATTATTGTCATTTGTCGGTATTTGGCCGCATAACAATCTTACTGGTAATATTTAATAATTCATATTTAATTATTTCCAAACAGATAGGAAAGTCAAATCCGACGAAAATTTGACTTTTAGCGATACCATTGTTCCGGCATCTATCTATCATTGCAAAACTCCCGATGCTGATATTGATTGTAATTTTTTTATAGTTGTATAATCCTTCTTTTTCTGAGGGATATTTTTTTTATTCTTATAATTTCGACTCAACTACTTATTATTAGATCCATTTAAGTTCATTGATTCATTCTTATTAATATCATTTTTTTATATATTTCAAAAGATCTAACCCTTGGCCCATTAACCGCAAGCCGTTTTACCCCGTTTTCCCATATAACGGCCTCGTCCTCTGAGGGTTATTTTACTGGTTCAACGTCGAAGAAAAAGGAGGAGCAAACTAGCCTCAAATCCGCAACAGCTGGTTGCCAGTTTACGGATAAGAAGACTGGATTGATATTTGGAGCTGGTAAAATTGTCCAAAGGCAGGACACAATCGTTAAAAGGTAATCCTTTCCAAAAAATCTTGCAAATGGAAAGAATTAATAAGTGATATTTGAGAAATTAATCAATAAACTTCGAAAGAAATATATCCTAAAAAATGCATTACATGAGAATAAGTATTGTTGGTATAAGAAGTATGTACTATATGTCAAACTAGAGATAATTATAAAAAATGATTTATATTTGTATTATAGAATATTACATAATTATAAGAAAATATAGAAAAACATAATGGGATTTTACATTGGAACATTTAACATTCCATTTTTTTAAAACTTTTATCCTTTTGATTCCGCAAATCTTATCATTTACTAAGGGCTCGGTCTAAAGGCCAAAAAAAATTGCATAAAAAAACAAATTTTTTTGATATTTATTTTTATCTTGAAATTTCTACTGTATTATTATTATGCCTAATTTTTAATAAAAGAAATTTTTTATGAATAAAATATAAGCGAAGCTATGAAGTTTTTTGGTTTCTTCTAACCCTATAATTTACAATTATTCTTCGTTTTTGCCTCTTAAACAGGTCATGTAAGTATAATATTTCACTTTTTTTCTTCTTTTATTTTAATATAGAAAACCAAGTAAAAAGCGAAGCTTGGAAGAGAGAGACAAATACAGAGAAAATGGAATCACTCCATCAACCAAAAACTAAATTAAAAAATTAATGATATTTTCGAATAACCTGAAAATTATACGAAATTTATAGTACGCTCAAAAATTATTTTAGAAAACTTATAGTTATTTTTTTTGGTTTTTTAAAGTGACTTTAGTTTATGATTAATTTATTTGTCATTTTAAAGTGTCAACCAAAATAATTTCGATAATTTTTGATTTCCCACCAACCTCCCCATTCTTTTTCAGCTATTTTTTCTATTTCCTCACTTTCTTCTCTTCCCATTGTTTTACTTTATTTCTTCCTCTTTTTGTTCATTACTGGCTCTGTTTTATGGCCAAGCACAAGTTTAAAATGATTTTTTTTTGGAACTCGCTAAAAAAATTACCATTTAATTGAACACATCTCTTATTTCTTTCTTTTTTGATATTAAAAAAAAATTATATAATATTTTTTTTATCTAATATCAAATGCATTCCCTATTAAAATACCTAACTGACATCTTCATTATTTTTATATATATTTTTTTTTGACAAAAATTTATTCTTAATTAAAAAAAAATATATATTTTGGACCAATTTAATATTAAGTGCCAAAAAAATCGCATTAAAAAACGATACTAAAAATTAGGCTCAAATAAAAATGATCGCATTAAATTTGATTAAAAATAATACGAAACAAACATTTCATTTAAGTTTTGATGGACGACGCATAAAAATTTTATATCAAAAAAAGTATTAAACATTTATTCGAGCAAAATGATTTAGTGAAACCAATAAATTAAGGCATTTATATTTTTAAAATATATATTTATAAATTATTGCGAAATACGAAAATTGTTATAATTTTATTGTAAATTTTATATATACATATATATTTGTAATGTATTTTTTTGAATTTTTATTTATTTTTTGTATTTTTTTAAAATATATTTTTTAATTTTTTTTATAAGCTTAGAGGTTTTAATTTATATTTATTTTAAAAAAATTTATATAAAATTTGGAAAAAATATTTGTGTTGTCTGGTGCCAATAAAAGATAAATAAAAGTGTCTTATAAGCATTGATCTCAATGTTTGTTTGGAGGAATAAAAACGCGAAAAAGAAATAAGTAGCCATGGAATATATTATTGAGTTATATTAGAACAAGTAAATTAGTTTACTACTATTTTAAATATCGTTAATTAAAATGTGTGTTATTTAATTAACTACTTTGTAAGAAAAATGTTATCTATAATCTGTATAAAATTGTAAAATTTTGATAAATATTTTATTTTACCATTATAAAAAAAAATCTAAATATAATAAAAAGAATTATAATGACTTATTTTTGAACGGATAGAGAGCTTTTTAGTAGAGGAGTAAAAACGTTTAGAAATTGTTACAAGTGACTTGTGATTATTTTTAATATTCAACAAGGGAAAAAAATCAATCTTTAATCAACACTTAGAGTTTTAACATTAAGATTTAATTAATTTAAATATTTCAATCAGAGTTGTTAAGGAGCGCTACATTTTTTAAAAACACCAGGAGCTCCCCTCCTTTTTAAAATTGGGGAGCGGTTAGGGCTGGAGTGGAGGAGCGCCGCTCAACCGCTCCTTTAAATTTAATGTATAAATTAAATTATTTTTTAAATATTAATAATATTTATTAATTAAAATTCAATAAAAATGAAATTTTAATAAATTAAAATTTATCTATTAAATGTTTAGCCTAGTTTTATATTGGTTTTTCATCTAATCATTTTAAATATTAAGCATCAAGTTTTCCTTTTTATATTGAAAATTTTTTGGAAAATCTTGTAAATCATATTAATATTCATTTTATAGATATATAATAAAAAATAGTTTTAGATATTATGGATTTAGAGATCATAGATGAAGAAATCGAATTTCCATTTCCATCATACAAAAAATATTTTAAACTTTTAAAAGATGTTGATCCAAATGATCAAATAAATTTAAGGGCAAAATGTCTTTTGTGTTTAAATAAATTATTTAATTTTCAAAAGTGAGCAGTTTCAAATCCAAAAAAACATCTAAAGTAAAAAATCTTTCTTTTAAATACAAATTGATTTGGAAATTTTTTTGGATTCCATGAAATTGATCATCGTGAAGAAATATATTGGACAAATATTTTTTAAATAATGATACCAAAATACTATTTTTGATAAATTCCCTGAATTAAAAAATATCTTTATAAAATACAATACCCCGCTTCCCTCTAGTGCTCCTGTGGAGTGCCTATTTAGTATTGCAAAACAGGTCTTAGGGGAGAGGCGTGGATGTTTGTTAGATTTTAATTTAGAAAATTTATTACTTTTAAAAGCTAATATAAATATTTTGATAGATCATTTAATATAAATAAAGCTTTTTGATAAAAAAAATATGATTTTATTTTCTATACCTTCTAAAAAAAATGAAAATCAAAGGAGCGGTTATGGAGTGGCACTCCATTACTTGGAGCGGGAGCTAGCTCCTTTTAAAAATGTAGTAGCTGGAGCGGGAGCTAGCTCTTTTTGAGAAGGTAGGAGCGGGAGCTAGCTACTTTTAAAAAGGAGTCTTAACAACTCTGATTTCAATTTTTTTTCTCATGGAGTAAAGAAAATTGGCACTATCAATATTTAATTTTTCAACGGTTTGGTAACACTGTTATATTCTTTTTATCTGAATTAAAACTAAGGTATTCAAAAATTTTGAATTTTTCCCTTGAGGAATATAGAGGATTTCACTATCAAGTTTAAACTATTCCTATTTTTAATATTATTCTATTATCCACAAATTTTCATCCAGTCAAAAACCGATTTTTAAAAATGTTGCATTTTTATTGCAAAATAAAATACAAAAACAATTTGCATATTATTCATTAAAAATTTATTTTAAAATAATATAATATTTTTCCCATAAAACTAAAATAATTTTTTTTTAAATTTCATTATTTTATACAGTATATAAATATCCTAATTTATAAAGAAGTCAGATCAGAACTATCCAGGATCATCGGGTTTTAAATGAATACTTTTAAAAACCTAGGGTTTAGTTTAAGGATTGATAATAAATACCGTATTATCATTATCAGGGTAATGATGTATAGCATTTCGTCATTAGCCATTTGTTAAATAACGACAAAATTTGCTAAACAACAACCAAATTTACTTAAAATGTAATAAGATTTAGTTTTATTATTGTGATAGAATCATGTGATCGCTTCTGATATTCTATATATCATACCCCGTAGCACGGAGCCACCTAGTTGATTGCTGGATTCGAACATAGAACTAGCCGATTAGTTGCACTCACAGACTAGGCCATAGACGCTAGTAATAATATATATTATAAATAAGTAATTAAAAATATTGCCTAATTGCGTTCCCAAAAAATAGTAGTAGTTATGTTGGAATATTTCAAGTTGAATTTTCTGACGGGTGGAAAGGAGTTTCTTATCCTCGTTGATGAATTGCCTGATTTTAAGGCTTAGGGTTTTTAAAAATTTTATAGTTTTAGGCAAAAAATTAAGTTCAGCGCTTAGCATTATTACTCGTATAATCACTTTTTACAAGTGATAATGAGGAATCATTTTTTAATGCTTTTTAAGCACATTTCTCTTTATTTATTTTCGATTTTATTAAATTTTTTTCTTGGCTTTATGAAAGAATACAAGTATTAATTGATAATTAATCATAAGTACTATCTAATTAGAGGGTAACCTCTCTTTCTGTTTGATTAAATCTGGGGGAGGGGGTAAGGAATATTTTGTCATGAAATACCTTTTAATCAAAAAAAGTATTCACTCAATGGTCTATGGGTTGGGATTGAGACTTCGTCTTGGGGAAGGTGATTGTGTGGTTAAAAAAAATTAAAATTCGATATGGGTATCAAAAAGGTAATTTAAAATTTCTCTTGATTGTAATGTTAAGAGTGGGCGGGTCTAAGTCTTGGGGGGTGGGGGTGATTCTTAAATTTATTTGTAGCATCAAAATGGATATCAATTTAATATTTTTTAATTTTAATGTTAATTATATCATTTTAAATGAGCAGGTACTCTTTGGGCTGGGCTAAGACTTTTATAATACAATAATTTAATAAGAGTATGAAATAAAAGTGTACTGAAATATATTTTGACTGAAATGATAGTACTGAAACTAGAGTTTTTTTTAATGAGAAGGGGGGGGGGTTAAATATAAAAATTGGCTATGGGTATCGAATAAAAGATGGCTAAATTTTAATTATCACCCCCCCCCCCCTTCATGCAAATATTTAAGCAAGTTAACCCAATTGAGAAGATCAAATTTTTTACTTTGCGAGAATCGCTTTCATTTTTTAAAATTTAAAAAAAATAATCTGAGTAATTGGTAAAAAAGAAATTCTTAGCTTACAGTATTTTAGATTCTGAACAAGAGAATTTGGAGCATTTCAGTTTTTATCCTGAGCGAGTTAATTATAATTTAATGCTTCATTTAAAGTAAACACGATACATTCGAGTGATGCGAAATTAATCGCTAGCGAAATCACAGCTGATTTGTCTATCATGGCATAGCAACATATGTTTTTTCACACGTTATCTCTCAGTATTTATAAAATATACCTATTATTGACTTGATTATGTAAGTTGCGTAGTGAAAAATTTTGCATCGCTCAAGCGAATCGCGCTTACTAATGAATGCAGCGTAAAGCTGAATTTATAGTAAATGCGTTACGTTCAAACGTTGCTCTTTTTAACACTATCTAAATCACCGCTGATTCTTCATAGCGTTAATATATTTCAAAATAACTAATTTTTTATATAATATTTCAGAAACATATATATATACCTTTTTATCGAATTCGCTATTATTTTTATTATACGTAACGCATATTTTGTATCATCGGATAGCAACATATGTTATTCAAATTTTATCATAGCGTTATCATCATAATGTTCTATATTAAATTACATCTATTTATTGGCTTGATTTTTTAAATAACGCACCGTTTGAACATAACGCGTTTACTATAAATTCGCCCAAGTCATATTTCATAATTGAAAAGTATATCATATAAGATTTAGAAGTTCGATGATTAGTTAAAGTCAGAGACTTTGCAGATGTTAAAATCTTAGATCGGCTCGGATTGGTTATTTTTTATTTCTTTTGCCCGGCCTAGATTTTTAATTATTTCCCCCAGTTGGTATCTAGCTCGAAATTAAACATTTGAAAGGTTAATAAATAAAATAGTATGAAAATATTTAAAGCATCAAATTGAATATTTACAATACTAATTTTTGATAAATATTTATCAACCACTCCTACCATCACATGTACTGCCGAAAAGGTGTCAAAAAATAATTAACGGTTTTTTCGGATGGAGGGGTAGTGGGTATTTTTCAGAAGGCTTTCTGCTTCCATCGCTCAGAAAGTATAGGGGCCACTGTTACGAATGCGATATTTAAATATCAACTTGGTAGTAATTTATAATAAATCTGGTCGAATTCTAGCTCGAAACTAGAGAAGTTAATTTTTATTTTTGGAAAGTCTC